GCAACCTGGAGCAGCCTCGAGGGATAAACACCACAGCTCCCTTGCCCCTTGAGTGAGACAACCCTGCAGCATGCTGTGTAGTCTCCCAGGGACCCTCCCAGTGGGCCTGAACACCAGCTGCCCACAGCAGTAATTGCCCCTTAATCTACCCTCCATGGTTCCCTTCCGTTTCCTGTCTCACTTCCCCACACCCCTACTAGTGCTTCCAAGGATCACCCCTTATATAAACTACTCATACTCAAATCTTCATTTCAGGTTCTGCTTCTGGAAGAGCCCAATATAAAAGCACCCCAATCGAAGACACCAAACCCAGTCAAAGAATGAGATCTCTTCTAATTCTGTTTTGGACACGTTTCTGGAGCACCAGCTATGCAACAAATACATCAGGCACTATCCTTGTCCTGGTAGGAAAGTCATCTATATGCCTGTACTAGACAAATACACAAAGCAGAATAAAAGAGGAGTTTTGCTCTGTTGTGAGAGGTGGTTATCAGGGAAAGCTTCACAGTAGAGGTGACACAGGAGGGTTTAGAGGATGAATAGGAGTTCTCCAGGTAGATGAAAGGAAGATAGAAACAGCATATTTAAAAATCCAGAGTTGTTATAAAGCACAAGATGTTCAGGGAACCCCTTGTAGAGTTGAGTATCTCACATGTTGCTAGAGAATATAGGAAACTTTAGATGTAGTAAAGGGTTTTGTAGGGAAAATGAGGAGTGAATTAGAATAGCAGGAGATGTGGTTAAATAGACAGGCTGAAGGTGTTTAGATATTATCTTGGAAAGACTGGAAGATTTTTTAAAATCGTGGATTATCTTTTTCTGATTGTGTAAGTATCAAACGCTCATTGAAGAAAAGTTGGCAGAGACAGAGAAGTATGAAGTAGAAAATAAAATTACCTCAAATCCAGGGTTAATTAAATCGTGCTGATGTGTTGGTGCAGAGGAGTGTGGTGGTCAGACTTGAGTTTTAGAAAGAACTCTGGCAGCTGGTGACAATCATGCAGGAAAGATACTGGACAGGGGGTGACCAGCTAGGAGCCGCTGCAGTGAAAGTTGGTGGGATCTTCCGAGGGGCTGCTACAGCAGTGGGAGTGAGTGGGCTTCACGGGATGTTTAGCAGGTGGGATTCTTAGGACTTGAGAACCAGTGGATGAGGACTGGATGCAGGAGAGGAGGGGAACATGACTGCTAGACAGATTCTGAGCCATCTTCATCGTAAGTTGGTGGAGGTGGCAAAGGCTGGGAGCTAGGAGACCTGGGTTCTCATTTCAATTTGTCACTTCCAACTTATGGGACCTCGAACAGGTTCCTTGAACCCTCAGAGCCAGTTTCCTTACGTAAAAAAATGGAAAGATGATTCCATTCCTGCTTTTCTTACAGGCTTGTCACAATGGTCCATAGTTCAAAAAAGATGAACACCCTTGATGGGTAGGAAGCTAGGGTTTTGGGCCCTTGTCCTCAAAGCTCTGCTCAGTCCTTTCCCTGACCTTCTGCCTCCTGTCATCAACCGCCAGAAGGAGGGCAGCCCCACCACCCTCTAGGTCTTCCTTCCTTCTCCCTCTGCATCCTGCCCAGAGGACATTTGCCATGCTGGTCCCTCTGGTGCAAATGCTCTAAGCACCCTCCTGCACCACAATTCATTCATTCATTTCACATACTAATTGATGCCCTAGAATGTCCCAGGTGCTAGGAACACAGAAATGTATACGACGGATAAGGTCCCTGCCCTCGTGGAGGTCATTTGCCACCCAAAGGGAGACATAAAATAA